TACGAACTGCCACACCCGACCAGCCCAAATTGATTGGACCTCATGGCTCCGAGAAGTGAGTACGTCGCAGGCAATTGAGCCGAGCTCTAAGACCGCGAGAGTGATTTCAATTTATATGAAATGTATTCACCCCATTTTATTTTAAAGTGGTTGAGGAGTGGTAGTTGAATTTTTCCACAATCATATGTGTAGAGCTGACGTTTCCATTGAATTTCACATGATTTTGCTTTCTGAAAAGGTATCTTCATCTAGGCCGAAGTGGACTGCAGTTTCCATCTCGCCTGAACTGGACTCCTCAGCATCCCCAGCGGGACTCGGACTCATGACAGTACATCGGATACTCTCGACACGTTAACCACTAAGCCACATTGTTACAAGTGCCCTTGGGTTGTGAATTTCAAGAAAGACAAGGCAGGTTCACATACCCCACTATGTGGTGGAATGTTTGATCAAGTGAAATTGTATTTGCTATAATAATCGACGATATTATTTATTTTTTTCGTTTTGAGCAGGTCTTATAGACTGCCATAAAATAACATGTATGATATGTGTCAGCAGAGAAGTTGAAGATGGCAATACAAACATATCTGGTTAACATGTAGAGATTACACGCTGCACTGTCATGGTTCGACTCCAGCTAGGAGTGTTGATAAGACTAAAACAAAGTCGAAACTGCAGTTCACTGCAGCCTGGATGAGAACATCTTTGGGGAAAGCAAGGATATGTGAAAGCGTCAGTTCAATTAATATTTCCTTGTGGGAAAATTAAACTACCAGTCCCTTATCAGCTCAAACGAAATAGGTTGAATACATCTCAGCTAACTGAACTATTGATAGTCTCGAAACCTGCTCATATCGAATATACTTTATGCTTAACCTTTAGGCTTGCAAATAAGTTAAAATGGTGTAGGACAAGGAAATAGACGTGATTCCAGCTATTTATTTGTCGAAATAACTCAAAATTTGACCTTTCAATTTTTGAAAATCACATGACTTGTATATTGCACACACACAATGCACACTACATCGCATGCCTAAACATGCCCCAGCATGGCAAGCTTGAATACTGGCTTGTGTAGGCTAGGAAACAGCATCCACCTCATTTATCTGCAAAAATGCAGAGTGAACTGGATTTCGAAGAATGTCTTAGTTATTCCTAAGTGGTGCGAGCTTCCATTTAGAAGAAGTTGGTCAGTAGAAATGTGTGAAAGTGGTCTCACCAAAAACGAAGAAGGATCGCCATGAAGTGAACATCATTTCAACCCGATAAAAAGTCCTTGGGTCATCGCCCCGCAACCGCGACGAACCTGTGCTGAACCTTCTGTCCATTCGTGGAATACATCTTCAGAGCAAGCGCGCATACTTTACGAAATGGCGCTAAAATATACTAAATCAATATAAAACCAAAGCTGAAACCCCAATCACA